TTAGGATTTGGGGGTTAGGATTTAGGGTTTAGGATTTAGGGTTTAGGGTTTAAGATTTGGGGTTTAGGGTTTAGGGTTTAGTGTTTGGTGTTTAGGGGTTTAGGGGTTTAAAGGCTATATTGGGGTAATGTAAAATAAAATGGAAACGGGGAGTGTATCGGGGTTATATACGGGGTATACAGGGATTCAAGGGCATATGTTGGGGTTCTATTGGGGTAATGGACCTATATAGCCCTAAATCATATGGGAGTTATCTTATGGTTATAAATGCAAACGGAATGTCAATCAGCCACATCGAGGGGCAGAGCAAGCAAACGATGCAATTCAACACGGTTTAGGGTTTTGAGTCGGTTTGGCTTACCCTAAGTAGGGTGCCCGTAGGCCGCCCAATAACAAAATCGCATAAAGATGACCAGAAAAGCAGAGGACCAGGGGGGACCAGACCAGGGAACCAGACTAAAAGACCATGGCCCCCTCAAACCCTACACTCTAAACTACGGGGACTATAGGGGTTATATAAGGATTATAAGGGATATTTGAAGGTTATATACGGATTATAGGGTATATATCAGGGTTATGTAAGGATAATGGAAAAGAAAATGGAAACTGCTATTTGGGTCCTAAACCCATGCATCCCTCAGGCTCACGAAGCCTACACATTCTGGCCGGGAGCCTCAAGCCTAAGAGGACGCGTTTGTCTTAGGAAAGCCAAAGAGAGTGTAACCTTTGAAAAACTAACACGCACGCACGTACTGCTTCGTAACTGTAGTTTTTACAGCACAAAACAAGACTTGTGCGTTAGAAAGGGTTACAAACTCCTATACCCTAAACCCTGAGCCCTAAATAGTAGTTTCTATTTTCTTTTCCATTATCCAAATATAAACCAAATATAACCCAAATATAACCCCAATATGACCCTAATATAACCCTATATAATATATAGTAGTTTCCATTTTCTGTTCCAATATCCCAATATAACCTCCATATTCTAGGCGTAAATCGAACACGGTCCAACCACCTCCATCCTCTTTTTTGCCGTCTCCTTGTCTACCCCTGGTGGAAGCGGTGCATTTGCCATCATCCGTTCAAGGTCCTCGGACGCAACATATATTGGGAACTGGTGGCGCGCAGTCTAGGAATGAACAGGGTCCATGCGTTTGAAACTGGCCACAAGTTTAGGGTTTAGGTTTTAAGGTTTAGGGTGTAGGGTCTGGGGGGACAAATCCTCAACCAAGATTCCTCTGGAGACATGTTCTTCATCATTTCTGTTGCCTGGGAGAACATTTCTGGATTCTTGGAGATCTGGTCCATGGCCTGCACCAAACGCTCCGTCGACACTTCTACCACAGGCCACCTCCCCAAACTTATATTGGGGTTGTAATCCCCCTTAAGTAGATAATAGGGTTATTTAGGGTACATGTAGGGATAATGGAAAATAGAATGGAAACCGCTATTTAGGGTTTAGGGTTTGGGTTTATAGTCCCACTTAAGTAGGTAGAACATAGCTTTGGGTGTGTTATAATAAGATCCCCACATACCCCATATTCTATCTACTTAAGGGGGACGATAAGTTTACTTACCGGGGGTTAATAGGGAGTAAGGGCATCTACTATTCAGAAATTCTATGCGTATTGAAATTCCCTTGTTCCCTACGAACCCCCCGTAAGCAAAAAGACTTGGCGTGTGACATTCTCCATATTGCCAGAAGATCCGGGGAGAGACGAGGAGCTGCTGCTGCTGCCTGCACAAAGCCACAAAAAATTGTTGGGAAACATTGGGGAGTTGTCCAAAATTAAACGAACTTTTTCGGGGTCCTTATAAGGAGGACTAAAGAATTCTGGAATCTATGTTGGGGTCCCGTAGTGTGAAAGTAACATATTCAGCCTAAGCTCCTCTTCTTCAAGATAATGAGGCAACTGCTACTTCTGCCTCGCCTTCTACTTTTAACTTCTACCGCCTACTATCTACTACCTACTACCTACCACAGACCCACGACCTAGGACCTACTACCTGCCATGTCTTACCTACTACCTGCTTGCTGCGTACTGCCTACTACCTGCTGCCCCCTAATTATATTGCCTCTGCAACCGCTGCTACTACTACTGCTGCTGCTGTTGCTGCCACCAACCACCACCGCCGCCGCCGCCGCCGCCACTACCACGACCACCACCACCGCCGCCGCCGCCACCACGACCACCACCAGCACTACCACGACTACGACTACAACTACAACTACAACTACAACTACGACTACAACTACGACGACGACTGCGACGACGACGACGACTTCTACTACTTCTACTTCTACTTTGACTTCTACTTCTACTTCGACTTTGTCAGCTGTACCACGTTGTTGGACATGCCTGTCTGTGATCTGCACATGAAAAATTTGCAGCTTGCATGACGTGATGCTTCATTCATAATCTGGCTCGCGCACCTACGATTGAGGCTGTGAAAGAACCGATTCATCTGAAAGTTTATTGTCTACCTGCTGACCTGGCTGACCTGGTCTTATGCTGTTCTTGGACATCGCAGCTGTGCATTGTCCAGCCTTGGCTGCCAGCGGCTGCTTCGGCCTTCTGCTGGGCCGCATGGATCGCATCTGAGGATACACCTGATCAGATTGCCGCTGGGCGCCTCCACTTTACAGGAACTGTAGTCTAAACTCCTGGTATCCCCCTTCATGACCCTGCTTCCCAAAATAATTGCCTAACCCCCCTTTCAAGAAGTTTAGGCTAAGCTTACATAAGGAAGCCTTTCCATCCCATCCTCCCCAAATTTCCCCTGGGCCTTTGCCCATGCAGTCCTTCTCTACCCGCTGCAACTCCGAAGCAATGGTCTTGTCCTCACAGGGGTTCCTACCCGTCACATGCAAGACATAGTGGAAACGCAATGAACGTACATCTACTGCTTCCTAGGGGTTGGCAGGGGGACTACTGGCCAACAGAGAGAGACTGAGCTCGCAACATCCGGGGACAGCTTTGCTGCAAACCTCAGGAACATGCAGGCTCAGCTGGCCCAACTCCAATAACTAATTCTAATAATGTTTAGATATCAAGATGCGCACAATGCCAAAAGACTATCGACACGAATCCTGAACCTAACCCGAAAAAGCTAAAAAATACTTTAAAGTGTCTATCTATAGATATGTGTGTATATATATACATATATATCTTACTTATATTGATACTAGTATAATACTTCTACAATCTCGTTTTTCATCTTCTGCCGCGCGGCTTGATGTCAGCCACGCCCTCTGCGAGCTGGCCAAGGTCGACTCGAGCCAGGCCCCGACGAAAGAGAGCCTCACCGAGATTGCAGAGTTTAGGGTTTGGGGTTTAGGGTTTAGGGTTTAGGGTTCAGGGTTTTGGGGTTTTGGGTTTAGGGTGTAGGGTTTGGGGTTTAGAGGCTAGGGTTTTAGGGGTTTAGGTTCAGGCTTTAGGATTTAGGGTTGCTGCAAGGTATTGCAAGCTTGGATGAATCTCCCCCTGCCTTGACGCTGTGGCTGTTGATTCGCAGCGCCTCTTCACAGACCTGCTCTTCATGATGATCCCAATCGATTGAAGCCGCGAAACCAAATTTGAACACTTCTGATGTGCGGGAAAGTAACTTCAACAGTCCGAGCTGGATCGTTCTGCTTCAAATGGCACATAGCTGAGTTCAGCAGCAAGGATAGACGTAGCTGAGAGATGTCCTTAGCAGACCAATGATGCCAGCTCTCTACTTGCAAGCCTTAACAAAGACACCGCTGATCACCTGCGCAGCATGTGCTGTGTGAGTGCATGGAGGCACGGCATATCCCGCAATCGCAAAAATGTTGGAACTACGCTTCAGTTTGCGATCGCACCCAAGCGGCATCTCCAGAAAAGGGCTTCAAGTTCTCCAGCGCTTTACTGTACACTCCCAGCGCCTCGGAGTACTTCTGAGCCTGGCACTGCATGCTTCAGGGCGGAGTGCAAGCCCAAAGTTCCTATTACCATTACCAATTCTACTATAATTCTTACTACTATTACTATTACTATTACTCTTACTCTTACTCTTACTCTTACTCTTGCTGTTACTTTTACTTTTGTTATTACTCTTGCTCTGAACCTTACTGTTGCTATTCCTATTATTGCTATTGGCAGCAAGCGCACCTTGATGTGGTCATTGCCTTCGTTTTTCAGCTGCATGGAGGCGTTGTACCTTGCTCGTATTTCTGGCTCGGCAATCTGGCACTGCATGCTGAATAGTAACGCCCTATATAATCCCTATAAAACCGCATATAGTCCGTATATAGGCCCCATATCAATACTTCCAAAAAATTCCAAACGAGAGAAAAAACAACAGGGCATTTCTCGAAATTAGGGTCCCATTTTGGTACCCATAGAATATTTGGTGCCGTAATGCGATCTGGAACCCAAATGAAGCCCACAGTTTTGAGGGTTCCCCGCCAAACCCTGAACCCTAAATCCTAAATCCCTAAACCCTAAATCTCTAAACCCCAACAATCTTCATTCATGGTCCGAAATACATATACTGCTTCTGGCCACCCATCTGCGTTTGTGCTTGGCTCATACTCCTGAGTGACTCCAAACGTCCGACAGTGTCTACTGGAGGCTAAGACCGAATAATAACAGATCATCGTAATAATCGTGATAAGAACAATTATGGTAATAAGTAACTAGAACAAACTGGGAATAATAGCAGTATTTTCATAATAATAAGAATAAAGAAATATTCATAAACGCAGAAGTGCAGTTTGCACTTGCTTGCAGGGAAGCTTCGACTTGAGCTCGTCAGGACTCATCTGGCCTATTCTTTGCCTCAATGGGGGCTGCTGAGGTGAAAACATAAACAGTAGCTTCCATCTTCTTTTTCGGTTATCGCTATAAAACCTATACAACCCTATTTATAACCCTACATAACCTAACCCTATGTAACCCTATATAACCATGTATAACCCGTACTAACAATCCTGCACTGCTCGCCCGGCTGTGTTTAGGGTTAAGAGGTTTAGGGGTTTAGGGTTTAGGGGTTGAGGGGTTTTGGAGTTAGGGTCGGGGCTTAGGGTTTGACATTGTGATGTTGCTTCCGCTCATACTCAGCATGCCAAGGCGCATCTGTTCCTTCATCTGGCTGGAATCCATGCCTCCGGGTGCTGCGCCACCCATATTCTTCATCATGTTGTCCTCTGGATCCAAGTGGATGGCCAAGAATGGAAGCTACCAGACACCCATGCTCTTGGGGGTTTAGGGTTTAGGGAGCTATAGTTGCTATGGTTGCTCTGGGGGTCCATACCTCTCATCCCTACTCACCACAATGAAGCTCTGACAACTCAAACTCGCACTAGTGTAATCTGCACCAGGGGCTCCCTTCTCGGATACCCTCGACCAAAATAAAAGGACCCTGAGACCCCACCCAAACAAAAAAAAGAGCGGAAAGAGAAAAACGTAGGCGACGAAACAGAATCTTTAGGGTTTAGGGTTACTCTCTCTCTCTCTCTCTCCCCCCTTTTGCAGTCTGGAAGCCATCACGGAAGGGTCCATGTTGGCTGCCATCTGGGTCATCTTTTGCATGTCCTGGCTTGTGATCTGAGCAAGGTGCTGACAACCCATGTGGAACCTGGGGCACAATCAAGTAGCCCTAGTACACCGGTACGACCCCGTTGAAAAGGCAACTGACTTTTGGTACCTCTTTTCCTAAATAGGGATACCCAAAATATTTTCATCCTTATTCTAGGGACGTCCAAGATGGTACCCCAAATTCTGGAAAAACTGGGAAACTCCTATAGTTCAGCAATGTTCAGTATAAGATTCAGGGGCCCGAAGGCCCTGAGGTTTAGGGTTTAGGTTTTAATGTTTAGATTCTAGGGTTCAGGTTTTAGGGTCTAGGGTTGAAACCCTAAACCCCAGACCTTAAACCCTAAACCCTATGCAAGCCCTGAGAGCCCTGTACTTCTGGCCTCAGGTGACATGTTCGCCATCATGCCTTGGGCTGCCTTCAGCATCTCTGGAGAGAACATGGCTGAGAGCTCCTCAAACAAGCACGGCAAAAGTGGAAATAATATTAGTGATTATAATAACAATAATAATAATAATATGAATAATAATAAATAATAATAACAATAATATTAATAATGGTAATAATAGTAATAATAATAATAATAGGAATAATAATAATAATAGGAATAATAATAATAATAATAGTCATAATAACAATAAGAATAATAGTAAGAAATAGCAATTAGCAATAGTAATAATAGCAATAGCCATACCAGGAATAATGGTACGGGCTTTCAGGAAGCTCTTGACAGGTTACTTTGGCTGCCGCAAGGCAGTCCTACACCCTACACCCTAAACCCCTAAATAGGAAACTGCCAGTCCTGTCAGCTCCCGAGAGCTTCTGCCAAAAGATCTCAAAAACGGCCCGGTGCTAGGCTCTGCTCTTGAAGCGTGTTTCAGGTGTGGCTGGAAGGGTCATGTCTCTGCTGGCTTGTAACCCTAAACCCTAAATCCTAAATCCTAAATCCTAAATCCTAAACCCTAAACTCAGATTCCTACGGGCTGTCAGGAGGCGACCTATGAGACGTCAACGCCTTGGAAAAGCTTCGGTTGCTCTTTCAGCACAGCTGGCTCGAGCCGAATGCATACCAGCCATTCTACTGCTTGTTAGTAGGGAATAAGGGACTCATTGTATAAGGATTATTGTTGGATTCTTATACTTAATACTTATCTAGGGATTATATACCCATATTCCCTACCAGGAACTAATAAGTTATACTACTTCTCCGCACGAGACGACGTGGCTCGCTTTTCACAGTTGGTTGGATCTGTGCATGGCAACTCAACTCGATGCTGTAGAAATAGAATCTAAGCATCTACTGTCTCTTCTTGTTGTCACCAGTAGTCTTGGTCTTGGAACATCTGCGCCCAGCATTTTCACCAAACTCAAACGTGAAATCTGAGCACTCAGACTGAGGCGCCAACTCCTTCACGCATCCTGCTGCAAGTGGCATGAAGAAAGTTGAAATTCCTCTCCAAACATGGAGCAGTCTAACTACATGGTCTCTCACGCCTCTCACAAGTAGGTTGAAGAGCAGAAGATCCGCACGGCTGGCTTTTGAACAAGCTCCAAAACGGCTTGGTTCGACTTGTTGCGACTTGCAAAGAGTGTGTTGCACAGGTTCCAGGCTTTCACTTCTATTTCCGCGCAGCGGTAAAATCTCTGAAGGATATGCCAACATGAAAAAAACTGCCTGAGTGTCGTAACCCCAATATATACCTAGTATGCTATAGTAGCTTCCATTCTCTTTTTCATCATCCCTATATTATCCTAACCCCTAAACCCTAAATAGTAGCTTCCATGTTCTTTTCCATTATCCCCATATAACCCCTAGATGATCCCTATAGACCCCTTTTAAAGGGACCTAGGGTTTCCATTTTCTTTTCCATTATCCCTATCAAACCACCCCTAGTAGTGAGCCTGGACCTAGCACTCGCGTAAGTGCGGCTTAGCCGGCTTCAGGCTCGGGCCATTACAGCTAATGAGCCTGGAGGGAAAGAACGGTAGCGTTCAGGGTTCAGGGTATAGGGTTTATAGAAATTGTATAGGGTTTGGGTCCCAAAAAGTTTAGACCTGAGTTTTACCTGAGTTTTTACCTGAGTTTCTGTTTTGCTTTGTCCAAAACCAGTTTGGTGCTTTGGCTCTCCAGACCAGACCATTTCTGGGCCGGTTTTGTAGGTGCTGGTTTTGTAGGTGCTGGTTTTGGAGCTATTTCTGGGTTGGTTTTATTGCTCTCTGAACACCCTGACCTAAAATTCCACCCGCCCCAAAAGCCCCCTGACAGGAGGCTGAAAATGTGGGGGCGACTTTCTAGGGCTTGGCATTGTATAGATTTGGCCCACTGAATTGGCTGGAGGCAGAGCTGTGCCTCCCGATGTACGGGAGGAGCCCGGAAGGGCTCTCTGGATGTTTAGCGCTTGCTTTTGGCCGGAACAGGGATTTGGGAACAGCGCAATTATTGTTTTATATGGAAATTTGGGCAAACAGACTTGCATG